CCTATCTTTAGAAATATTCACACACACACACACTAAATTATTGAAAGTTTTGGAACAGTATCTTGATGAGCAGGGATGGTAGTTATGTTTTACATATGGGTCAACATTTGGCCTATCTTTAGAAATATTCACACACACACACACTAAATTATTGAAAGTTTTGGAACAGTATCTTGATGAGCAGGGATGGTAGTTATGTTTTACATATGGGTCAACATTTGGCCTATCTTTAGTGATATTCACACACACACACACTAAATTATTGAAAGTTTTGGAACAGTATCTTGATGAGCAGGGATGGTAGTTATGTTTTACATATGGGTCAACATTTGGCCTATCTTTAGTGATATTCACAGCCTTGTCTCTGTTCTTCGCACCACTAGCTATTGGTAAACATCTAGTACAAATAGACTTCCACAGAGCAACTCCACTATGTATCAATTACTGACACTTACCATCAGCTGTTGGTAAACAACTGGTACAAATAGACTTGCACAGAGCTGTAGTGTAGTGTGATTTCAGAGTTATTTGATTATAGTAAGGTAGACTGCAGTTGTATAACCTTTTCTAAATGTCATTTTTCACATTTGTTAGCATCAAGAAAAGGAGGTCTTTAAGTTTTGTACTTTCCTACCATTTTTGGTATTAAGAAAAGGTGTCTTTACATGTTTAGTGCCATTCTCTCTCTCTCTCTCCATTTTTAGCATAAAGAAAGAATGTTTTCATATGATTATTACTTTTTTTTTCTCTCGTTTCCCTATCTTTAGCATGAAGAAATATGTAGTACCATTTTCTCTCTCTCTTTTTATTTTTAGCATCAAAAAATACTTTTTTTTCTATGTTTAATACCATTTTCTGTCCCACTGTTTTCTTGTATAATTTTCGACATGCAAGGTATGAATATGAAATTAATGATCTTAATTTTATAGTGTCTTGCTCTGCTGACATGTCTGTCAAGCTCTGGGACTTTCAAGTCTACGGATGTGTCAAGACAATGCAGGGTAAGAGAATTTATCTTTTCTGTTTTCTTATTATATCTAAGAATCTGAGCCGTTATTTGGCAGTCGTCTGTATAGAAATCGGGTAGTGTAGTGCACACGCAGGAGTGTAAGCATGTTTAATGAAGAGAAACTTTATTTCTTTAATGTTCCACATTACAGCTTTATCAAGAGATAAACATATCCTACTTAACACAAGCCCAGTCTTAACAAAAACAAACCAACGATGTAATTAAAAATTTAAAAATGCTGTTACATCTCATCTGACGTGTGATCACGCCCACATTATCAACAGTAAGAAGGTAACAATAACAAATGTATGTTGACAGTACAAACACGGGAACGGAGGTATTCGTTTAAAAACGAAAAAAGGAGACTAGTCCTGTAAACATTCACTGCTGAGAAATATGTAGAGGTAAAAGTAGTTATAGCCACATACATATATGACACCTCAATAAAGCTGCTGCCTCTACATTAATTCTCTTTTCTCCTGTGGAACATGACTACGATTTTTATCCAGTTGATGACACTTTCACATATTTGTAACAGTTTCAGTTATTTAGCCTCCAAAAAGGGTTAGACAGACTCGTGGGTAATCTTGAAATCAAATGTTTATCCTGAAAGATTGGTTAACGAAATTTTTCCACCATTCATGATGATAAACAAAGGAAAATAGTATTAAAGATGAAAATGTTGCTTTCCAAATATTTTTTACCTGTCCTGGAGTTAATAATATCATTAAGAATAATGTGTAGGAACCTGGTTTGCTTACAGGTGAGATAAAAAAAAGCCTGGACATTTTCTTAACTCACCTTTTAGCACTACCAGAAAATCAACTGTATTACATGTAATCTAGCACTAGAATTAAGTGTTGGCAACAGGTTCTGCCAGCCATTTACCTTCTGTTTAGTCAACAGTTCTAAATTAGTGACAGTGGCAGATATCTCTAATAACTTTGCCATAACAGAGACAGGTTGAGCAGATTTAGTACCAATGGGAATTGAACTCGAGATCTTTGAATTACAAGGACCCGAATCAACAAAGTTGAAAATACTGGAAGTATAAGATAATAACTTATAAAGCTAAAATTGAGTGGAGCACAGGTGGCCTGTTATGTAGCGTTGCGCTTAACAACAAATGTAGTAACGATATCTCGATAACTTTGCCATAACAGAGACAGGTTGAGCAGATTTAGTACCAATGGGAATTGAACCTGAGATCTTTGAATTATCTATCTATCTATTTGAACTATCTTTTAATCATAATGTTGGCTAATTAATCAGTTTAAACGATGCTATTTGACGTAATTGTTACTCGTAGGTAATTTATTATAATAATTAATCATTTAAATCACCTAGGCCTATCTAGGACTTCTGAAGAAATTTATGAAGGGAAATGTAGTTTACAATATACTTTGTGATATTTGTTATGAAAAATTAAATCGGTGAAACTGGGAGACTTGTAACGAACTTCTCGATACTAAGCCGATGAGCGAGGTTAATAGGAGTGCAATTGTAGTAAATTTTATAAATGAGCATAGATTACTAAACCTGATCACTCTTTTAGCATTAAAATAGAACGAAAATTCCAATTCATAAAGCACAAGGAGTACCCTTTTCATTAGGTCTTATATATGTTACCTCTGCATATTTATTAAATGTGAATATTTATATGCCCAGTTTTTTTTCTTTTAAATGAACGTTTTCTTCACTATTTATATCATTGCTGCAAAATTATTGTTACTTTTTTATTGTTGATAATGTGATTTTATTCATATGATACGTAAGGACACATTTGAAGTATTATTGGATATCTTATGAAATGATCCCTTGCAGCTTTAAACGTTTTTTGAGGGTTAGTGCCCATAGAGAATGGGGGTCATCATATAAGTTCTTAACTGTTTAATCACTTCAATAAAGTTTGTGCCCATGGTTTTAATCTGCTTTAACTTAACGTACTTACACAGGTGTATTATAGTTGGTGTAGTTTTAGTTCAGGTGTAAAATCGTTAAGTAAGTATTCTTGTTTTCAATGGCTTTTTTTTTTAAGTAGTAGTAGTAGGAAAATTGGCCATTTAAATGTATCTCCAACACTGGTGTTTCTATTATGAGTGGTAGAAAATCGATATATATATATTTTCTGACAGTTTCTGATGTAATGTACTTGCCATACTTATATAGTATTTTCTTAATATTTGAATCATCTTGTCCTGTGTAAAATTACAGTTTTTGTTGTTCCTTTTGGAACTAATGTTACTATGTTTCATTTAGGGCATGACCACAATGTGTCCTCTGTGACTTTTACACCCAGCGGTGACCACATACTGTCCTGCTCTCGAGACAAAACCATCAAGATGTGGGAAGTTACAACTGGGTTAGTATATTGCATTTTTCATTAGGTAAACTGATAAGTTAATGGCAGACACACTACTGAGCTAACTGTGATTTGACTTTCTTGCTCATGAAAGTACAGTAAAAAAAAACTATAATATTTCATTTAGGTCTGAGATTTTGTGCTGGGTTTTGTAAAACATATGTTTCAAAATTTGGTGACATAGGCTTAAGTAATTTGAGTATCCTGTTCTTGAAGCTCTTTTTTTTTTTTCTCGTGTGAAAGACGGGAATAGTGTGGTAGGCTGTAAAGCTTTTTTTTTTCTCGTGTGAAAGAAGGGAATAGTGTGGTAGGCTGTAAAGCTTTTTTTTTTTTTGTAGCTATTGTGTCAAAACTTTCACTGGCCACAGGGAATGGGTTAGAATGGTGAGAATTAACCGAGATGGATCGTTGATTGCCTCTTGTTCAAATGATCAGGTGTGTTATAGAGTATTTTTATCAGTTTCTTGAAACAATATAAATGTTTCTATTATTAAATGTTTTATGGAACTTTCTGTTAGTAAAACAATAGACTAATCTTTCATGTAGCTGTCAGAAGTTTTGCATGTTTGTAAAAACTTGTGTTTTTAAACTTTTTCCAATGTGAAGTATAAAGTGATAAAGTAAGTGCAAGTTCACTGTAAAAAGTTTTTTTGAGACTTAAGTTTTGTTAGCAGTAACTTTTTATTTGGTTTCTTATCTGTTTTTTTAACTATCGAAGCAAACGATCCAAGCAACAAAGATTATGAAATACACAACACAAAATGTATTTTTTTGATTTGTCATTAATATGAGTTAATTAAAAAGCAATTTTAAAAGAAGGTAACCATTAATGAGGAAGTAATCTCACAAAATCAATTCCACATAATTCAAACTTAACCACTGGGGTTAAGTTTGCTTAAACTGTGAATCTAAGGACTCATGGTTTGCAGACTGTTGTTGCCAAAATGGACTTTATGGCAGTTAGTGTGTTATTTGGTCAGATAAAAGTAGCCCAAGAGTTGAAAGTAAATATTGTTGATTAGATTTTAAAGTTTTAAATAGCCACAGATAGCCATTTGTGTAGCTTTGCACAAAACCTCTAAAGTAAACAAACAAAAGCTACTAGGTGACTCATTATGAATGGTACCACACCTATTATTACATGCACAAGCAGTAATATAGTAATCATTTAATTGCAAATATTTGTTTTTTATGTATAACCCTGTATGTTGATTTTTTGTATTCAGTTGAAAAATTCTTCACCTATAACAAACATTGTCAAAGAAAGATTGTCATTAAATAACGTTTCTTTATGAGTTAGTTGTCTATAAGCCAGATAAATCTTGATGTTTTTTTTTTCTACACAGATTGAAACCGTCAAAATAGTGTATGCTTACTTCCATAACAGTTTATTCTCTTAAGCCTAAAATCCATGATAAAAATCCTATATTCTTGTAGGCCTAACCTTCGTGATAAAAATCCCACTCGGATGTACATGCTATGCTTTTATTGATTCTTCTTGACTTGTCCTTAACAAGTTTCAAATCAGAGGTGTGTAAAAATAGAATTTCTAATTTATATATTTTTTTTGTTTTTCTGCCTTGAATAATTGCCCAGGAGACCATAAAACATCAGAAGTCTTGTGTTATTTTTATCACAATCATTAGGCCTGTTGATTTCCTTTGTTTCTCCAACTTATGGCATTCAGAACCATAACTTTAAAGTTCTTGATTTTTATACAGTAAAAAAATCTGAATACAAATTACCTATCAAGTTATAAAAATATGTATATCTTGCACAATAAAGTAATCTAGGCCCACTTACAAAAACAAGAGTGTCTGTCAGTGTTTCATTAATATTTAATAAACCACACTAACCAAATATGACTTCAGAGTTGATAAATGCCATGAAACTACACACTGACTTTAAGCGTTGATACAAAACAAAATGATGTACATTATCATACTTCTTTGAGCTAATGCATAGCAATAAATTTGGGAATGTATTTTTCTTTAAAAAGCTTCAAAGTGGATGAAATTCTACATTGAATATTCTAGCTAAAAAAAACTGCTGATTTCCTACACCAAAGTAAGTCATGGTAATTTAGAAATGATGGATATCTTCAAAAAATTTATTCCTGTTGATTTACTCCCCCAGTGGGACAGTTTTGTTTGGATTTACGATACTAAAATCCAGGGTTTGATTCCACATTGTGGACAAAGTAGCGAGCCCAATATGGCTTTGCTCTAAAACAAACAAACCCTTTGATTTATGAAAGTTTTCTTGGAATTTTCAGAAGGATTTTTTTTTTGTATTTTGTGAGCTACAAATACAGTTGTTGTTTTTTTTGAGAAATAATTTGGAAGGTATTTCAGAATAAAATAGCTTTTAGAGAACAGAATCTAAGTTTGACTCATTATCTCATTCTGGGTAAAAAAAAGCTCATACATTGACCAGCTGTGATAAGCAGGTTTGAGTAATGGTTCTCATCAGCAGAGCTAAGGTGACCATAGAAAAGACAGTTGAACTTAAAGTACTTTTAGGTGTGAAGGTTTACTTATAGTTCACTGTTTCCTCACAAGGGAGTGTTTAACCCCTTGGATGCTGTAATCCGATTTATCCAACTTGACATTTATAGCCATTTAATGTGACAAGCGGATTTACCCTACAGTATCACAAAACTTTTCATCGTGGTTCAACAATTGGGATACTTGAATTTTCTACCTTAGTACTACATATGCATACATCACCAAGCAAAAATGCAACTAGTGGATTTTGATATTGAAAAAATACTAAAAAAATCAAATTCTAAATTTAATTTTTTAGTGGATAATTGACGTTTTTCAAGAACCCACCCAAAATTTAATTATACACTCAAAGGGTTAAAGTCTTTTTTTACTTTTCAACTGGCTTTTAAGACTTCTTGACTCAGTACTTGTATAAGTTATAACATATAAAGTGGTAAACCTAAAAATCGTTATGTAATTGTAACTGATAAAGAGATTGAACTTTTAATGTAGTGCTCTTTTCCAAAATATTGCTGTAATTTCTATGTACAGACTGTACGAGTGTGGGTTGTTACTACAAAAGAGTGTAAACTGGAGCTGCGGGAACACGATCATGTTGTAGAGTGTATTGCTTGGGCTCCGGAGAGTGCTACTCCAGCAATCAGCGAGGCAGCTGGAGCTGATGTGAGTGTTACGCATGTATACCTGCTAATAATTTTACTTAATTTCTGGAACAGTTTTTTGAATTGAAAATAACTAGTATTTTGTAATCCATATATTAAAAGAATGCTGTTTCTTGTTTTAAAAAATAATAGTGCTTAGTGAATGTCAAAATAGAACTACACACAAAACACCATGTCGGTTGTGAAAGAACATTTCATTCATTGAACCAAAAACTATTTTTAATATTGAAGATTTGTTTATAACAAAAGAAGTGAGGTAATTACCAGATCTTAACGAAGACTTTAGGAACTGAAATCCTGTAATTTCTCTGCCAAACACCCTGAATCATACTTGCAAACTTTCTCAATTTGGGTGGGTGTTTCTCGAATTTGGACCTTTTACCCGATCTACAAATTGGGTTTTAAAGATAGGTCATTTCTTCCATTTTATGCATGTACCCCGATTTTTTTTTTTTCTGGAAATCTACTGATTTGGGTAACTATAATTAACTTTTTCCTACATTAAAAAGTTCCCGGTAAACGTCAGCCAATTGTTTGCTTTCTATAGCGAAACCAGTTGAGTAAACGCGTGATTCATACTGGAAATCAGGCTTTAGTTTTTTCTTGGCCAATGAAAACCAATTATACAAATAAGATGTATTTTTAATTCTAAGCCAAGCATGCTTGTAAGTTGCTTGACTTGCTGTGAGTCACGCAAGATCTCCCCCATAAGACTTGAAAAGTTGACAAGTATGCCCTGAATATAGAATCAATGTCTAGATGTAGCATTTGTTTCTTGAGAATCCAGTAGTGTGATGGAATAGAATAGAAGTTTAGTTTCCTGGTTGTGCTTCTTTAAAACCACCTCAATTAGTTTCCTGGTTGTGCTTCTTTAAAACTACCTCAACACCATATTATAGAAAAACATGTCTACACCACTTAGTAAAATCAACAAAAAAAAACGTTTATTGTCCCAGTTTTTTTTATTCCAAACTATGCTAAAAACGTGGTAAAATATACTTTAATCGACATCTGTTCATATTTTAAAACAATGTGGAAACATTTATAGGATGCTAATTTAACAAAACTAATAAGTATGTAAAGAAAAAAAAATTTAAAATTTATATTGCCACAAATAATAGTACATCGTAAACGTAGACAAAATCTTTGCCAGGAGATATAGAGAGCACAAATGCCACAAGACTATTTGGTTCAGAAACAATATAATTTAATGACTGAATACTGTTAACATTGGCATTATCATCAACTTAACATTATTAACACTAGCATTATCATCAACTGGGACCAACAACAAATTATTAAAACTGCATTACTCTTAAAAATAACAAACTTAAGAGGTTGACCTGCATCTTAAAAAGTGGACATAAACAACTTTAATTATTTTCAAGTGACCTAGACATTGCTCACAAGGAATTTTTTTCAATAGAATCATGCTATGTGTAATTGTAATAATAAACTAACTAAACAGTGAATACAATGACACAGTGAGAGTCTTTGTAAAAGAAGCTCATCTCAACAATCTAGGCACATTTTATTCATTCAAACATCCAGTCGGCCCAGCATGGCCAGGTGGTTAGGCCACTCGACTCGCAATCTGAGGGTCATGGGTTCGAATCCCCGTCCCGCCAAACAAGTTTGCCCTTTTAGACGTGGGGGATGTTATAATGTGATGGTCAATCGCATTATTCGTTGGTAAAAGAGAAGTCCAAGAGTTGGCGGTGGGTGGTTTTGACTAGCTGCCTTCCCTCTAGTCTTATGCTGCTAAATTAAGGACGGCTAGTGCAGATAGTCCTCGTGTAGCTTTGCGCAAAATCCATAACAAAGAAACCTTCCTCTCTCTACATTTTATACATTTTATGAAGTTGCTGTAACTGAACTGTGTTATAAAGGTATTTCGTTGGAATGGAAATTTTAATTCCACAAACAGTTAAAAAACTTTACCTTTAGGATTAATCATTGAATTTTATTTTGAGTTTGATCGTTTTGTTGTTGAATAGTTTTCTTTGGTATCTATTTTTTTATGGAAGTAAACAAAAGAGAAACATTTAAAGTAAAAGTTTTGTCAAACATGCTTAAGGATTTATATACTAAAGACATTAATAGATGGAAAACATTGACATTTTAAATATTTTCTTCCTAGATGGATTTCTCTCAGGAAAATTTTCTAATTGATATGCGGGAGAGGGATGTACATGTTATTTTTGTGTATTTATTCATCATTAGTTGATAGATTAAAATACTGTTACCTTTTTTTTAAATAGAACAAGAGAGGGGCTAGAACTGGTCCATTCTTGCTATCCGGGTCTCGAGACAAAACGTTGAAAATGTGGGATATCAGCACTGGCCTCTGTCTTTTTACCATGGTAGGAGGGGTTGAATTATAATATTTAAACCTCAAGTTTTTTTGTTAATCTCTGGCTAAATGAATATATATATAACTATGTGTTTAAGCTTAGTTTCAATCATTCCAATAGATAAGGCAAGAAAAGCCCTTAGTTTTAACTCCTAAAATTAATATCAATAGTAGATGGTATTCAATTATGCAACCAATTTTTTTATTACTGTTTTATCTGTCATTTTAATTGAGTCATGCTTGACTTTTTCCTCAGAAACAGTTTCGGAAAACCACGTTCAGACTGGCTAAATCAAGTTTGTTTATCAAACTCTTAATTCTTAACATTGAAAAAAGCAATCAACTTTTGTCACTAGATAATGGGAAAAAAATATAAAATTTTTAAAGTAATTTTTCTATTAAAAAACAAAACTGTAAATACCTTTTTTTTTATATCGATGCTATAGACAAGTTATAATTAAAACAGTGAAATTCATTTGTGAATGTTATCAGAATTGTACCTTATATTTATGCAGTATAGTGGGGATGGCAGAAAGAAAATAACACTTAAATTCTAAAAGCACCACAGTGAAAAATTTTAAATAGTTTGAAAAATGTATAGCAGAAATATATCGTTTGAGAGAAGATCGAGTAAAAAAAAAAAAATGTTTGAATATTGAAGTAAGGAATGTTGATACTAAAGTTTGAAATGTGTGAAAAATTAGTGAAAGATAATTCATCCATAGAATAGTGAACTAAAAACCCCATTGACGGAGATATTTAGAAGAAGTAACTTAAGAAAACTTTTTAACCTTAGATTGGGCACGACAACTGGGTCCGAGGCCTGAAGTTTCACCCGGGAGGAAAGTATGTCATTAGTGCTTCTGATGACAAGACTCTCAGAGTGTGGGACATTAAAAATAAACGCTGTTTCAAGACCTTGGATGCCCATACTCATTTCTGTACCTCATTAGGTAAAACTAACGTTTTTTTTATCTATAATACGTATTACTTCATTTGTTTTGAAAGTGAAAAGCTTTGTGACTTTTCTTTAAAAAAACGGATTATGTTAAACTTTTTTTTTTTCCCTCAGACAGTAACATCATCAGACTATGTTAAAAACATGTACACTATTGTGTTAAGGCTGTGTTTAATACCTTCATTTATATATCAACCACTGTGTATCTAGTCTATTAAAAAGCGGTTATTTTGAATACATCAAGAATTAGGCATAATACCATAAACCAAGATTTTCTTTTTTTTTTTACCAAATAGTAAAATAAACCTGGCTATTATTTTAAAAACCTTCATATGAGGATTAATCACAGACTGATTAGTCAACTTTAATTTTTGTAAAGTTGTCAGCTTAACAAAACAGCTAGTGGAAGGTGTTTTAAGCATTGAAACCCAAGTTGTGCGAAATAGATTTTTATGGTGACCGAAATGCCGATCAAAATTATATAACACATTTTCATAGGCTCGTGTACTTGTGAGAACCAAAGTAGTCGATGTTGAAAAAAATATTTGAGTGTGAACATTGTTATGTATGAAATTAATCTCGTATTCATTGTTTGTTCTTAATCTCAACTATATAAGGTCAGTTAATATTATTTCCGAAGTAACACATGTATATATGTATTCTCTGTATTTGTTTTCTGTTAACTACCTACATGAGAAGAAGATGTCTTATGTATAATCCTGCACTTTCATTTCAGATTTTCACCGAAATTCTCCTTATGTAATCACAGGCAGCGTAGATCAGACAGTCAAAGTGTGGGAATGCCGTTAATATTGCCTCGAAAGCTGTGAACTTCCACATGAGAGCATTTTTTTCTTTTTTTAGTCTCAACTCATTATGAATATTTTCTGTAAACAATGCTTCTATTTCGTATTATTTACAGAGTTTTCCCGACATTTAATTGTAGCTAGCCGCTAATAATCCCTTGTTGCTCGTAACGACTTATTTGTTTGAGAAATTTTACACTCTTTCTTGTTTATCGTGTCGTACATTCTTCTTTTTGGAGTTCTTGGCATGTTAAGGATTAGGAGGAGAAATGCAGTATTGAGGGAAAGCAGCTTTAGAAACTTCACCTGTAAGAAGTAAAGAGCTTTTGATATTGTAACTTTAATAGTAATTTTAATTAAGGTATTGCAACAAAAAATACATTGCCAAACTCTTTTGGGACACTATCAGTAGAATTGCTTGTCCTGTAGAGAGAGAGGTAGAATTGCTGTGAAGGTCTGTGTTCTAAATTGTAAATTTTAAGTCCGCTATATTCTTCTCTGCAAGGATTCCCGATAAAGTATCGTAAGAAGTGCCACTTCATCAGAGAACTTAGTTGTAAACGGCAATATAGATGATCAGAGTATGAATTACTAGCAGGATTCCCGATGAAGTATCGTAAGAAGTGCCACTTCATCAGAGAACTTAGTCGTAAACGGCAATATAGATAATCAGAGTATGAATTACTAGCAGGATTCCCGATGAAGTATCGTAAGAAGTGCCACTTCATCAGAGAACTTAGTCGTAAACGGCAATATAGATGATCAGAGTATGAATTACTAGCAGTCAGAAGGCACTTACTTTAAACTTAGTTACAACCATTTCTGAGGTAGGTGGTACCAGTTCCAGTGGCTTATACGCATCATCTAAGGAAATTGGATCAGGTTGGTTTCTCTCATAGTTGGTAGAATATAAACCCATTACGAATACCTCTCAAGAGGCAGATAAACTTTAACTTGAGTATTCTAAATCAAACCCAGATGATCTGCGTTAGTTACTCAAGATTCATGAGCAAATGATAACGTAGTCTTTTTTTGTGGAATTTTAAGTTCAAAAGAACAAAGGGAGATATAATTAGTTACTTCACGAACATATGTAGTGATATTTAATTATTTTATGGAACTGGCTTATATTATAAGCCGTCCTTTGAAAACGTACTTGGCCTTATATTGTGTTTGTGGGTTTACAAAAAATAAGTTTTATCTATCTCTCTCTCTCTCACTTTACCTTTGCCTGCGAAACTCAAGAGTAAGTTTATATTTTGTAATAGCTGTTACCTCATTAATTACATTCACATTTTAAAAAACATTTTTCACCTTAAGTAAGGTGATGTGTTGTAAATCTCGGTTACCATTCCACTAACGAATGACGGAAGAGATGACAAGTATCCGCAAATAACTAGAGTTGTTCGATTTGTATTAGATGATCTCTCAGCTTGTGCCATTTTCTTTGGTGCAGGTTTGATGATTCTCTCTCAGACCACTCACTGCTTGTACCTGGGAAATTGAAGTCTTACTGTCTCTCTGTTGATACAGTAGTTTATTTTACTGGCTCTTTGTTGATAATCTAAATAAATGTGTTCATAGTTGCACTTTTTTTTCCCCCCGTTTTAGGTCTAGCATGGCTTAGTGATTAGGGAGCTCTACTCGCAATCTGTAGGTCTCAGGTTCGAATCCCTGTCACACTGAACATGCTCGCCTTTTCACCCGTGGAGGCATTATAATGTGGCAGTCAATCCCACTAATTGTTGGTAAAAGAGTAGCCCAAGAGTTGGTATTCGGTGGTGTTGAATAGCTGCCTTCTCTCTAGTCTGTCACTTCTAAATTAGGGATGGCTAGTGCATATAGCCTTCGTGTAGCTTTGCACAAAATTCAAAACAAGCCAAACTCTTTTGGATTACCTCAAACTTTCTATTTTTGTCCTTTCATTTAGAATATGAATGAAAAGTAAGTCAATATCATTCTGTCTCCTGTTGGATAGTAAATTAATATTTACTTTGGTACAAATGTTGAGTGGTCTGAGCTTTTATGTTGGAGGCTTTGCCTTCTCTCACAGCCTTTAGAGAGAAGGACCATGAGGTTAAAGCTGAAGTTTCACGTGTATCATTATGCTAAGCATAATTTTAAAGTAAACCTTGTGTTTTGGGTTGAATTTCTTTGTCTTAATTTAAAATTAAGTATGTTATTGTATTTTTGTAAAATGAAAAGAAACACTTGACTGCATATTCAGAATAATTTTGTATTATTCTTATTGCATCCTTTACTTGTTAGTCCTAACAATTGCTCTGGTTGACCAGATCAGTTTGTTTTTTTTATTAAGATCGTTTAACAGAAATTCTCTTCTTTCTTAAGTTATGGAATCCTGCATCCTTTACTTAGTCCTAACAATTGCTCTGGTTGATCAGATCAATTTGTTTTTTTATAAGATCGTTTAACAGAAATTCTCTTCTTAAGTTATAGAATCCTGCATCCTTTACTTGTTAGTCCTAACAGTTGCTCTGGTTGATCAGATCAATTAGTTTTTTTATTAGATCGTTTAACAGAAATTCTCTTCTTAAGTTATGGAATCCTGCATCTGATACATATTAGTCCTAACAGTTGTTCTGGTTGATCAGATCAGTTTGTTTTTTTAAATTCAATCTTATTTCTGTCTACTTCTCTTTTCTTTCTTAATGAACAAATGATTTCCTAAAATAAATTATTTTCTACCTAGAACTGAAGAATCACTATCATAACTAACTATCGTGACACTATAGAGAAATTCTTTTGGTACAGTTTTTCGAGTCCATGTAGAATGATCCCATTTAAATAGTAGAATAATTATTTTTACCTCAACCCTGTAGATAATTTTATTCACACCAAAAAGATCAACCCTAGGATAGTCCACGTATCAAGTAAGCGTAATCAGACAAATTGATCCTTTGAAGTATGTATCATACACTGTATACTGAGCTATGATTGATACCTTATGTTTAAAGAAATAAAGTCTGTGAGATTAGATACTAGTGTTGCACCAGAGCTCTGAATTTTTGGTTCTTGTCATAATTTGGCACACATTTAAAAATATAGTGGACCAAAGATTAAATGTGCTGTTTATCAATTATTATAAAAAAAATAACTTTTCTTAAATTCCACATGCTCATCTCTTTGATACCAATCCACGTGTCCTGGTTGGAAAACAAAGTCATACTCTTAATGCTTGGAGATGGCTTGAATGGGTAATGAAGAAAAACTTTAATATAAGTTTAACATAACAGCAAATGTACAACGTTTCTTCATTACCCATTCAAGCCGTCTCCAAGCAATTTTAGTCTCAAAGTGGGTTCCTCGACATCGAAAAGGCATACTCTGGTAGAAAACAAGAAAATATAAGCATGAAAAGTTGATTCATTTTTCTTAAAATAAATTAAAGATTTAGAATGTGTAGTTAACATTTTTTAGTTCTGTTCTTAAATTGTTATAAAAAAAATTAATTTTCATTTCTATTTGTTCATTATGGTTGACTTTGTATGAAACCGATCTTTGTCCTGATTGGAAAATATAATGTGCTCAGGTTAATGGTAAAAAAACCCGAAGAAATCAGTATCAGCCACAAAGCTAAAAGGCTTAAGAATATGTGTTTATTTCCATTATCCAACAAACTAATATTTTACATAGCTTTTGTTGCTAAATAATCTTCCAGCTGATTCAGTTGGGATTAAGCCTTTTTGAAAGTAGTGAACATGAGAAGCACACATGATGTAATGGTTGGGTTTTATTACACAATAAGAGTGAGGATTTTCTCACGTGCATTTATAGTTTGAAACACTAAAGCTAGTGCTGTAATTTAAAAAAACAACAACTTTTTTTTTGGAAATATTTAAGTGTATATGTAGTGAACATACACAAGTTCAAAAAGTCAAACCTATATTGGGTAAACTAGTGTCAAAAAGTTTTGTTAGCCGTTAATGAAATACTGTAATATCAGAAGGAGCAATAACTATAAGAAAGATTAATTTTTCATCCACTAATTAAACACATTCCAAAGATCGTTTCACAAGTTATGGAATCCTGCATCCTTTACTTGTTAGTCCTAACAGTTACTCTGGTTGATCAGATCAATTTGTTTTTTTTTTATAAGATCGTTTAACAGAAATTCTTTTCTTAAGTTATGGAATCCTACATCCTTTACTTGTTAGTCCTAACAGTTGCTCTGGTTGATCAGATCAATTTGTTTTTTTTATAAGATCGTTTAACAGAAATTCTCTTCTTAAGTTATGGAATCCTGCATCCTTTACTTGTTAGTCCTAACAGTTGTTCTGGTTGATCAGATCAATTAGTTTTTTTTAATTGTTGTTTAAAAAACAAAAGATTCAAAATAAATCGTATTTTACGATTTTGTGCCATGATGGGTCAACGGTAGGTTTATTTACTTACAATGCCAAAACACTGGGTTCGATTCCTCGTAATGTTACTGCTTAAAGTTTTACACGACTTCATGTGAACTGGGATTCGTGTGTTATAGATGCGATTGGAATTGTCGAAAATTTCAAGAATCCATATTAATTTTCTGTACACGCCCGGTAATGTTAATTTTGTCCATGAGAAAGTTGACGAAAATATTCATTGTCAAGCTGATTTTCAATTTAGTTAGAGATGACGAAAATCACTAGACGTGTCTCAGACGAGACGAAGAGCCAACACACTTGGTATGATGAAAACATGGACGAATATTATATAACAATTTCTCCGAGGACGATGACGAACAGAGATTTAGAAAAACTTGTTGGCAAACTGGTTACCAACACAATAGTCTTTAAGAAGAATAAAATAAATTTATAAAAACTTGTTGGCAAACTGGTTACCAACACAATAGTCTTTACGAAGAATAAAATAAATTTATAAAAACTTGTTGGCAAACTGGTTACCAACACAATAGTCTTTAGGAAGAATAAAATAAATTTAGAAAAACTTGTTGGCAAACTGGTTACCAACACAATAGTCTTTACGAAGAATAAAAGAAATTTAGAAAAACTTGTTGGCAAACTGGTTACCAACACGGTAGTCTTTAAGAAGAATAAAAGAAATTTAGAAAAACTTGTTGGCAAACTGGTTACCAACACAATAGTCTTTACGAAGAATAAAATAAATTTAGAAAAACTTGTTGGCAAACTGGTTACCAACACAATAGTCTTTAAGAATAAAAGAAATTTAGAAAAACTTGTTGGCAAACTGGTTACCAACACAATAGTCTTTAAGAAGAATAAAATAAATTTAGAAAAACTTGTTGGCAAACTGGTTACCAACACAATAGTCTTTAAGAATAAAAGAAATTTAGAAAAACTTGTTGGCAAACTGGTTACCAACACAATAGTCTTTAAGAATAAAAGAAATTTAGAAAAACTTGTTGG